TGGAATGTTTTTGTTTTTTTTTTTGTTTACCAAAAAATTAATCTTTCTAAATATTATGTAAATTAGTAACAAATCTTATCAACCTCTTTTAGTCATAACTCAATAATGTATGCCCTCTATGGCGAAAGTGACAGATAACAATTGTGTTGTCGTACTGACCGTTAGATTGAATAAAGTGATACCATTTGGTTAATTGATTGATTAAAACCTGCCACCCAACCCCCACCCCCACCCTGTAGTAGCTGGAAAAATCTTTTTCAATGTTGTCATAATAATGTTGTAATATTTCTCATGTGTTTGTTTCAACTTTTTTCTTTCCAGGAATGCAACACCCCTCACCAACACACATAGCCAATCCAAACATGTACCCAGCTGTTCCTATAGGCTCTCAACAGCCCCCACCTCAGCCACCTCCAGGCACATTTGCTCCCGCATTTGTTAGTCCGGTTGTTAGCTACACTGTCCCCCATGGGCCGCCGCCACCACCCCCGCCTTATCAGATGACAGCCCCTCCACCGGCTCCCGTACCAGCACCACTGCCACCACAGCCGCTGCAACCTCAGCAACCACAGTTTCCAGTCACAGTGAGTATTTCCAATATTTGTTTTCACACATTGTAGGTACACTATGTCTGTGGATAAAGATTATATCGGTTACTGCCATATTGTTTCGAACACCAAAACATCAACATTGCCAGCTATGTTGCCGACTGGTTTCACTCGTCCACTGTGTTTCAAACTAATAGTTGGGGACACATTAGATATAAATAGATGATCATGATGCGATTGCTTTTCAATATATATTATTTAATCTTATGCATTCCCATATATAATAAATGGCAAATGTGTGTACTTACACAGTATGAAATGTCTGGACACAATCAATGGTGTGTCTGTTGCGTGTCATAACGCTCGTAAATGAGCACAAGTTAGCCGAACAGTGCACCCTCCTAAAAGTGTTTTGAACAGAGCAGTTCTTAATCTTATAATGATCCCAAGATGTACGTATCAAACCAGTCAACAACTTACATGTAGCTGGCAATATTGATGGTTTGGTGTTCGGAACAATATGGCGGTGAAAGTATTACCGGTTTTCACTTTGATATGTCCGTGGAGTTTTTCAGCGAGCGCTGTGTTAACATGTCTCAGTTTGCCTGAAGCACCGCCACAATAAATAATCTTATTTAGGAAATATCATCATTATGACTAAGTACAAAATGCATTCAAATCAAAATTATCAGATACATGGAGTATCTAATTTTAATAATCAGAACTACTGTTCACGATCCATACTTCATCCTTACATTGTTTGATCAACATTCTGTGATTCAAATTATTCACACAAATTGAGCTCACGCATACTATTTGGAGTTCTAATAATGAAGATATCAATACGTATGTAGATTACTTTAGCATATCTGTCCTCTCAGTGCGTATTTTTCTTCTTTGCTCGGTTGCAGTCCCAAGCTCAGATGTATGGCGGTATTACATACTATTCTCCTGAGATGCAGCAACACTCTATAAAAAGAACACCTCCAAGACGACCACCAAACCCTATTCCTATACAACCACCACCAGAGAACACGGTAAGTAGATTGGGTACTGTAAATGCATTAATTATTCACTGGGTTTTAATTTCACTATTTTGGCCAATAAGTAAAATGCACTAAATTAAATCTATGTGAACATGTGAAATAATAATAATTGTTTCCTTGAACAATTTGTGAAATTAAAACCCAGTAAATACACTCAAAACATCAATATGTGAAATTAAATATCAGTGAAAATAAATGGTTTTACAGTACATTCTTGACTTAGTTTAGTTAGAAGCTTAGTTGTGAATGTTCCATTAAAGCTTTCTCAATCACTTATGA